GTTCATGTAAACTTTGCAGTGAAGGATCTACATTAAAAACATCGCGATAGCTATCAGATGTAATGAGATCTTGCCTCACGGATGCTCATGGAACTCGGGAAAAATATAAAAAAGCTAGCAAATCGACAGAAGACTGCCTCACAAAGTACCAAAAGTCTGCCTTAGAAAGTACCAAAAGTCTGCCTCACAAAGTACCAAAAGTCTGCCTTACAAAGTACCAAAAGTCTGCCTTACAAAGTACCAAAAGTCTGCCTCACAAAGTACCAAAAGTCTGCCTTACAAAGTACCAAAAGTCTGCCTCACAAAACGTCATCAGAAGTCTGCCTCACAGTCTGTCCAGGCCCCGATGCAGTTTGCAAGCTCAGTTTTTTCAATGAATAAATTTCAGCAATGTGGTATGGATACAATGTAGTATTTTGCACTAGGATGGTAGCTGGTCGCTAAAGGGTTATGTAACTAGTCCAAACGAGTCGTGCAAACTCCTTTGACTACCGACATGTGATGACATGTAGCTTAGAAACTGACGCCATAAGAAATCGACTCCAAGATGTTTTAATTCTCATTGTTCAGGGAACTTCCTTCCGTGGAAAAGTTTACATTTTTGAAAGTGAAATCGTTATCTGCGTTTAATCTCATTGTCTCTCTACTAAATATCTATTACAGTCGTCGTCTGGAGCAAAAAAAAACACCTTATCAATTGAGATACTGATTGGCTGAATGTAAATATCTCAATATCTTTACGTCTAAATAGAGACAGGCAGCACTTTTGTGAAAGTTAATACACACAATATACCACTGCGATAATTTTTCATACGAAAGTAAAATTTATTAATTCATTATAAGCTAAAAATTACCTAGCATTAAGAAATTCAGACGATTGTCTAACTAGGGAGTAGAACTAGGAGCGATCAAACTAGGAATAAATGCTGAGAATAAGAGATGGATAACAACCGGAAAAAACGACGTCGTGCACACCCAACAGAAATATATAGTTAGACGTACGTCGAATTACATCTTATTTTTTTAATCAATAAATTACAGGAGTAATTGTACGCAGTGTACCGTGGGTTAACGTTGCAGAACTATGCACCGCTACAGTTCAATGGCTTACGCTTTTATAATAATAATAGCGGTTTCAGCGTTTAGTAGGCCATAGGCCTGTCGCCGATTCTTAACATCGCAGAACATTCACAGCAATTTGCGGTCTCGAACTCGCAACTCTCTGCTACAATTCTGCTGTGCTTAACCGCCCGGCCTCCTTGCCGATTCTGACCAGAATGTGACGCACAGAGCTGGGATCGAACCCGCAACTCTCTGCTCCAATCTTGGTACTCTGAACTGTAACACAACTCGAACACAACCACTGGATTGTTAGCGGTACTGCGACGAAACTAGGGTAATCTGGCGCCAGTCTACTAGAGGCGTTGCTAGGGGCATATTTAGGCCGTTGCTAGGGACGCTACGCTCCATATTTGTTTGTTGGTCTGAGGAGTCAAGGTGAAAAATGTGACTTTATATATAATCGCAAATTTTCCCGTCGTTATTGGAACATGTAAAAACAGAACTGACTGTTGTTGCTAATTTTTTTCTCTGACATTGATATTTTACATTACTTTCACTCTCATTATAACATTCTTTACAGGTACATTAAAATGACTGATTGGTATCATGGTGTTGGGAGGCCACTAGCGTGAAGCTAGGCTAAAACTAATTTATGTCAATTAGTGCATTTTCGAAAAAAAGTCAATTTTTTTATAATAATCGGTTCAGGGCGTGCTTCAACGCGATTTTGCTTCGGCTGCTTTCAACAATGATAGTATTCATGATAACATTTACCTGAATAATTATTTCAATGTTTGGACCATTGGACTTGGAGAAATGTGTGAGACATTACCTGAATATAATACACTTATTGCGTCGGTTACCTTGACACAGTTTGGACCTATAAAATGGCATATCAATGCCAAGTCAGGTCTCTACTCGTGTTGTGTGTCATTGTTTCGGTTATATGACACACTAATTTTTCTAAAACATTTGAAAAATTCGGTAATTCTCGAAAGCTGTCGCCGAAATCACGATCAATACATCGCCATGCCATTCAAATCCCATCAATAGATAGCAATTCCATATTGGACGAGGAAGAAATATCGATTGAAACTCTTCGGTAAAACTCTTTGTTACTGATTTACGCATTTTAGAATCATTGTACATTTTTAAACAGAGGCCTAGTTTGAATTTAGCTTTTAGCTCTTACCCGCTTGAAATTGTAAATAGATAGGTTTTACAGCTTAGGTTTTTTGTTGCAATCATGACTGTACTAATTACTGATTTATCTGTGTTCTAGAATTTTCGAACTGATGATGGAGCTGGACTCCAAAACGTTATCTTTAAAGATACTATGAATTTTTGTGGAGTTTTCTTTGCTTTTAAGTTTTTAGTGAATTTGCGATTAAAGCAAACAAGTGACATTATTCTTCGGTAAAAATTACAGATTGGCATTTAATACTCACTGATAAATTGAGTAAGTTCTGAAAAGAAATGCAGGGTTACCAGTTCAGATAATGTGTTCACGTTTTCATTACACTGACGATGAAAAATATGTAAATTAGATCCACTAAAAATTAGAATATTTTCAACGGCTAGGTGTGTAATTTCACATTTTCACTCACTACGGAAACAAAAAATTAAATAAATTTTCTCAGCACGCAATCAGGGGTAAAGAAAAACAATTATTCAGAACATATTTATGTATACCACAAAGCAGCGAACGTGCATGTCTATGCATATCAAGGCACCTATAGGGAACACAACAACGGTGATGGACGAACGTTATAATAGTTAATTATTACGGTTATAATAATTATAATTACGGATGTCAGAATTCCTCAGCACTTTATAAGCGTCGCAGATACAATTTTTTCTTGAAAACAATACGAGAATTGAACTCATAAAGACAGTTTCAATAAGGCTACTCAAAAATAAAGTTGTTTAAAATGATCGAAATTGGTTTCATTTTAAAATTCAGAACTTGAAATAACTTTTACTTTTATTGATATTGTCAGAAGCTTCATCTAACCGTTCGGATCATCAACAACACCCGATTTGTTTCATCGGCACGGATAATTGACTTAAAGTGTCTAATGAAAGTAAGAAAAAATTAATAACTTACAATAAAAATACCAGTGTATAAATGATAATCACATTTGAACAATTTTACCCAACAGGTCTTAGTTTCGTTTCAAAAAATATAATAATCAAGAGATCATGAGATTGAAAAACCGATTATGTAGGACTATGTGCTGAACACTCTCATACACAAGACACAATACATAAAACACTACAATCATACATAAGCTATAACAAGCTGCACTGAACACACGCTAGTCAACTACCTATGGTGTTGATTTTTTTTAGTGCTTGCACATGGTAATCTGCTTTTAACTACGGACACTCATTCAACAAAGTCGTTTTTCAAACTTGTATTCACTAAGCAACAACAAATCGTGTCAACATATAGAATACATGTCTGTATTTATTCAAAAATGAATTTATTCTCATACAAAATCGTGTGATGCCATGGGAATGAAAGAATAGTTGACGTAACACACATAGCATAAATCAACAGGAAAATAATTAAAACAATCGTACATATATTTTCAACAAAATGAAAATTGTAAGCAGTATCAAATTATTATCAAACATGAAAATAATTCGATAACGGGCAACTTGTATATTAACTCAACCGGGTATCCATATTATTTATCAATACTTTTCTAAATTATATAAAAAATCTAAAAATTGATTTTCAAATTTATTATAAAATTGAAGAATCATGATCATGTGTTGATTACCTACCTAGTGGAATGACTGATTTTCTGGTATCACTTAGGAAGAAAACTTTGTAAGTTAACTTGGAAAAGAAATTTTGTCAGTAAACTTAGGAATGAAAGTAAGTTGACAAGGAACATTATACAGGCACTTACTTCGCAAAGGTAATACAGTATTCATATATTCACTAATATAATTACATTTATTTTTCCTTACGTTAGTAACATGATACTAATGCAGTTTATTACTGTAACCTACTTAAATTATACGAAACACACACATGATAATTTAGAAAATAAAAGTGCAATAGTAAACATACCTATGCTTTACATTTAAACAAAAAACTATTATTGATACTAACTAAACTGATGCAGTGTTGAACTATGGCAAAGCGCTCGTTGCAAACGTAAAAAAATCTTATCTATTCTATGTCGTTTGTTGCCATCAACGATAACATTATCTCAAGAATTACTTGAGCCAACAAAGAAATAACAAATTACAACGAAATCTTTGTACCGTGAAATGTCTTCTTGCTTCGAGGTTTCAAAGAGGAAATAAGAATAGTTTAAAAGATAGTTGGAGTTACGAGGGATAATAGCTTATGTTCAAATAGTTACAGTTTAGAAGTTGAAACTAAAAAAACAGCTCAATAATAATTTTTTGTTTGAACAAAATTCGTTTGAATAATGCAATACATTACAAGAAAATGGATGAAAAGGAACTGAATTTTTCCTATTGCTTCGCAAGAAACTTATTCCAAAACGCTTATGAATTATTGAATATTTTATTGCATGGACGTGTTCCCTCTTAATATAGAAATAAAGTGATACTTTATTAACAAATTTTTCACTCACAACGCAAATTTTTTCTTATGAACATAACTAAGTTTAAACATCAAGCGGTTGGTTATATACGATGATATGGTTACAGATATTCATAAGGATACAACATATGGTTAAAATTAATGTTTGTTACATATGTTGGTGTTGGATGCTACTTACCTTTCTCATTAAGGGTAATTTTTCCTTCAGATTTGATTGGGGTAGAATTTGTCTAGGGGGACATAAGATTCGTTTTTAAGTACAATTAGTACAATTAATGTAAGTACATAAGATTCGTTTTAAGTACAATGCACCAAACAAAAAAGTAGGGATTCTCATTTATCAGTTAGGTACATTAATAAAATACTGGAATTATGAACCTGAATTAATATAAATCTCATTATCACACCAGGTTCATTTATAGCTTCAATAAACTTCTTCATGTTCGTTGATAAACTTTACAGCTGTCATCTCTTGCATCGTTGATACGCGCCGTAATCTCCGGTATTAGAGAACGTGCGCCCATCAGTATCGTTGCGCAATAATTGCTAATTTTTTTCCAATGTTTCGTATTCCAAAATGTCGTATTCCAATGTAAAAATCGTATAAAACCAATTGCTATCAAAGACGCTTAGGTCATTCGTGTGAAATCTTCTAAGCGCCAAACTGTTAGTGAGTCGTAAGCAAGGCGTCAAAGAGGCGATAATGTATGCAGATTTTCTTTATCAATTAGGCAGATGTGTAGCGAACTTGACTTGGGTCTAGACACGGGTATTAAATACGGGACATGATAATGAACTTAATACGGGTCTCGTCATGGGCCATGACACGGGAATAGTCACGGGCATTGACACGCGACTGGACAGGAGACTAAACACGGGCCATGATACGGGAGTTGACACAGGTCTTGACACGGGACTTGACACGGGACTAAACACGGGCCATGATACGGGAGTTGACACAGGTCTTGACATGGGACTTGACACGGCACTAAGCACGGGCCATGATACGGCAAGACCCAGGTCTTGACATGGGACTTGACACGGGACTAAACACGGGCCATGATACGGGCGCTGACACAGGTCTTGACACGGGACTAAACACGGGCGATGATACGGGAGTCGACACAGGACTTGGCACGGGACTAAACACGGGCGGTGATACGTGCGCTGACACAGGTCTTGACACGGGACTAAACACGGGCGGTGATACGTGCGCTGACACAGGTCTTGACACGGGACTTGACACGGGACTAACACGGGCCATGATACGGGAGTTGACACAGGTCTTGACATGGGACTTGACACGGGAAGTAACACAGGAACTAACACAGGTCTTGACATGGGACTTGACACGGGAAGTAACACAGGTCATGACATGGGTATTCAAACGGGAACTAACACGGTCATGTCACACGTGGCAATCTTGCGTAGCTCAGACGAGTTTGGTAGCGCCAGGAGGCGGGGGCTTGGAGGCGAGCTCCTTGGAGAGCTCCAGCGCCAGCTTATACCCCAGTACTGGAGGACGGTCACGCCCCGACGCCAGACTCTTCACCTGCTCCACATAATACATGTAAAATTCACTTTATTTAATACATATATTATATATGTCAATGTATTAGTAATACATAGTAATACATTCACTTATTTGTAGCTAACACGTGTGTTGTCAAGCGCTACATCTGACAAGTGAACGCGATCTGATACAAGGCTCTTCACCTGTTCCACATAATACATGTAAAATACACGCAATTCATTCACTTTGTTTAATACATATATTATATATGTGGATATATTAATAATATACTGGAGGACGGTCACGTCCCGACGCCAGACTCTTCACCTGCTCCATATAATACATGTAAAATTCACTTTATTTAATACATATATTACATAGGTATGTCAACGTATTAGTAATACATAGTAATATATTGACTCATTTGTAACTAAGACGTGTGTTGTCAACCGCTACATCTGACAAGTGAACGCGATCTGATACAAGGCTCTTCAATTGCTCCACATAATACATGTAAAATCCACTTTATGTAATACGTATTTATGTGAATGTATTAGTAATACATAGTAATACATTCACTTATTTGTAACTAACACGCGTGTTGTCAACCGCTACATCTGACAAAGTGAACGCGATCTGATACAAGGCTCTTCAATTGCTCCAAATAATACATGTAAAATACACGCAATTCATTCACTTTATTTAATACATATATTATATATGTGGATATATTAATAATACATATTCATACATTCACTTATACGTAACTATGGTGCGCGTTATCAACCACGTTAATTAAAGAAAGGTCCAGAACTACACGCAAACGGCGCTGATGCTAAAGANGTACTGGAGGACGGTCACGCCCCGACGCCAGACTCTTCACCTGCTCCATATAATACATGTAAAATTCACTTTATTTAATACATATATTACATAGGTATGTCAACGTATTAGTAATACATAGTAATATATTGACTCATTTGTAACTAAGACGTGTGTTGTCAACCGCTACATCTGACAAGTGAACGCGATCTGATACAAGGCTCTTCAATTGCTCCACATAATACATGTAAAATCCACTTTATGTAATACGTATTTATGTGAATGTATTAGTAATACATAGTAATACATTCACTTATTTGTAACTAACACGCGTGTTGTCAACCGCTACATCTGACAAAGTGAACGCGATCTGATACAAGGCTCTTCAATTGCTCCAAATAATACATGTAAAATACACGCAATTCATTCACTTTATTTAATACATATATTATATATGTGGATATATTAATAATACATATTCATACATTCACTTATACGTAACTATGGTGCGCGTTATCAACCACGTTAATTAAAGAAAGGTCCAGAACTACACGCAAACGGCGCTGATGCTAAAGAAGGTAACTTGCAGAACTGTTAAGAAACATTCGACTTTACCGAGCATGCAAACATTTATCAGCCGGGATTCTATGAAAAAAATAAACAATTTCAGTTTGTATAATTTATAATTTTTTTTATGCAGGTAACTCCTTTAAGTAAGTTAATAAAGCATTATTTATACTGCCATTAATTATCAATATAAAATTTGCGGGCCACCAGAAGCACTGGCTTTATTATTTTGCTTGGCAAAAATTTGGCAGGAAATAACGATCTTTTCACAAGATAACACCTGAGGTCATTAATATGAGTTAGCAAATCCTCGAAATAGAAATAGTTGCACGAATCTAAAAGTAATTTCACAGTCTTTTTCTAGCACAAATGAGTAGGACGCTGACCTGCTTAATGACCAAGATAACCTGTACGCTGACCTGCTTAATGACCAAGATAACCTGTACGCTGACCTGCTTAATGACCAAGATAACCTGTAGGCTGACCTGTGAGGTCTTAATGACCATGCCGTAGGTGCTCAGCACCTGCTCCTTGCTGCTGCAGATGTCGTCAGCGCAGACACCGCGACACGCGTCGTCCACCACCAGCGTGCGGTAGCCCGCCTCGATCGCGTGCTTCGCCGTCGCAGCTAATCACCACATTATCATTATTACTTATTATTATTACTTATCATTGTTATCATTATTATTGCTTATTATTATTATTATTACTTATAATTTTTATCATTATTATTGTTAATGGTTACTACCTTAAGTCATTTTATTTGAAGTCCCTTTAGACACTATATTAAATATACATAAGCAAGTTTATTAAAGTACCTTTAGTCACTTTATTAAATATACATTAGTCAGTTTATTAAAATCCCTTTAGTCACTTTATTAAATATCCATAAGTCAATTTATTTAAGTCCCTCTAGTCACTTAAATAATATACATATGTCAGCTTACTAACGCTCCTTTATTCATTTTATTAAACGCTAATAATGATATATCATTAAGAAATTTAATAATGCAATCAGGATGGGATCCTCGTGCATTTGTCAACAAAACAACAGCTTGAACTTAATTAAACGCTAAAAATGATACATTTTTAATGAACTTTATAATGCTAATAGAAACCTAAAGACGAGTTCATGAATTAAATCGATGTAAACTAACATTTTCACATTTCTATCGTATGTTGTCAGATTACGTTACTATTACAAGACACTTTGTTGTCCCAGAACGCGGAGTACGAGTCCACGTCAGGGTCCGTGCCCTTGTAGATCAGGATCGGGTCCTCGTGCATCTGCCAACAAACATACAGTTTGAACTCGTGCAGCTGGCAACAAAGGAACAGTTTGAACTCTTGCATTTGGCAACAAACCAATAGATTGAACTTGTGCATCTGTCAGCAAACATAGTTTGAATTCGTGCAGCTGGCAACAAAGGAACAGTTTGAACTCGTGCAGCTGGCAACAAACCAATAGTTGTGCATCTGGCAGCAAACATACAGTTTGAACTCGTGCATCTGTCAACAAACATACAGTTTGAACTCGCGTATCTGTCAACAAACATACAGTTTGAACTCGCGTATCTGTCAACAAACATACAAACATACAGTTTGAACTCGTGCAACTGACAACAAAACAGCAGTTTGAATTCCAAAAAAAAAAAATAGCTTGAACTTCATTTTTCAATTTAAAGTCATGCGGACCTTACAAAGTTAATGAAGCCCTCGAACTTAAAACGCGGCTAACTTTGAGACCATATCGCACAGATATTTCAACTACTATTTACAGTCCTTTAATTTAATAGGCCGGCCGCTGAATTGGATGCAAAGTAACGGTAATATTTTCATCATCATTCTCAGTAGTACGGTATCTAAAATACTTCTTGCAATAGTGTTGCTATCATTATTTTCAGTAGTATTATAAACACTATGCGCAGTGATATTTCATCATCATTCTTAGTAGTATTAAAAATACTAGTAGCAGTATTATTCTATTCTCATCATTATTCTCATAATAATAACAAAAATTGACACAATAATATCTACATCATCATTTTCAACCAAATTATAAATATTTTGCTAGATAAAAACACTAAAAGCTGTAAGACAAGCCGCTGTCTTTGACACAATAAAATATACATCAACATTATATCTGAATTATAAATATTTTGCTGGATAACAAAACTAAAAGCTGTAAGATAAGCAGCTGACTTTAACATAATAATATCTACACCATCATTTACATCTGAATTATAAATATTTTGCTAGATAACAAAATTGAAACAGGTGCGATAAGCCGCTGACCTTAAGGTCCTGATGCAGCTGGGAGCCCCAGGTGCCCTGGACGCAGTGTCTCGGCCACATCTTCTGCTCCATAGGCACGCCGTTTCGGTGCACGTCAAATACGATCACGTCGTACACCTTCGCGTCTTCCGGCGATACCTGCATGTCAAAACACATATAATATATCGATATACGTTATTATATACCCTCCGGTCGCATGGAGATATACCCTCCGGTCGGTATATACCCTCCATGACTGCTATAGTGGCGATATCATTCTCGTTATACATTAGCATATACCGTTTGGTCGCGACACATGACTGCTGTAGTGGCGATATAAAATATAGTCCTCATTATAAATTATTATATACCGTTTGGTCGCTACACTCGACTGCTACAGTGGCGATATAATATATCGTTCTCTTCACCCATGACACCAGGCAGCGAGAGCAATCAATACATCACATCATTATATATCATATTTATGAAAGAGACAGCTTTAGACAGCCTTGTTTAAAAATAATATAAAAATGAGATTCGCAATAAAAATTGTTTTCTTTTTAAACAAATAATGCATTAGTAAATATTCACACCCGCGACGTATGGCAGCTAGCGGCGATACAATAAATCGCTATCATACATCATATTTAGGATATAGGTAGCTATTCATTACATAAATTTGCTTGAAAGAATGCCATTAAGAGGTTCTTTTTAAACAAATTATAAATTAGTAAACATCTTCCACCAGCGACCCCAGATCTTCGTTGCTGACCTCAAAATGTGTTAATGTACGAGTTGAAATTACAGCTCCCAGCGTTGTTGAGTTGAAACTCGTTAACTTCGTTTTAGTGTATTACTAAAGTAAACGGAAAATATCAAATTTTGTGCGTGAACTTCAATGCCTGGACAGAATGTCGCAAACTAAATTCGACGGTCAAAAAATTGTTTGACACCAAGGTCTTTTTCATCAGATTTTTTTACGTTATGTTTCGATTATTTATAGAAGATTCTCTCAACATGCATCATCAACTACTCTATAAAAACTAAATCGGAACACAAGTATAAAGGACCATTATCGAATTGTGACCTAATAATCATGTCATATTAATAATATGATCAATATTAAAATACTAATAATCACACTTTTTTGGTCTCATGCAAAGTCCTAAGAGTGATGTTGTCCAGAAATAATAAAATAACCTTATAAGTATGTCGCATAAATATTATAATCAATAACAATATAATAATACTATTTTAAAATATAATAAATATCAACATAATAATCATACCTTATTTGCAACGTCCTAAGAGTGACGTTGTCCAAGGATAAATTAATAACCTAATAATTATATCGCATAAATACTATAATATATGGCAATATACTAAACAGATATTATAATATAATAAATAAACATAATAATCATACCTTATTCGTCTCGTGTAACGTCCTAAGAGTGACGTTGTCCAGGAATGAGACGTGGTCCGTGGTATGCCAGTCCAGCGTGTACACGACTGTGTCGAACTTAACCTCCTCCAGCATCTTGTTGATAGGAGGGATGACCTGACGAAACAAATGTAGAGAAATACACTTTAAATTACATTCTATATAACCCTACACCTCCTCTAACTTCTTGTTGATAGGAGGAATGACCTGACGACACGTTTGTAGAAAAACTATTTTAATCTCCATTCTATAATACCATAGAATCATTCCCTGATGAAAAATTTGTGATGCCTAAGATATTCACGAGTAAACAAATTAAAAAATTACTTTGCATAGGCAGGCGTTTCTGCGTTTCTTAGCCCGAGACGATAAACATGAAACAAATGCTAACACATGAAAAACACTGGGGCAAAATGCCTTTTTGTCGGGTTAAAATGAGTCAGTACGACCAAAAAAAGGATGAAACTGCGTTGTTCTTTGTACGAAATCTGTACATTTTGCAGGGTTCGCACCTCCTCGCCGCGGTGTTGGGCGGGGCAGTTGATGATGGCGAGGCTGCCTGAGATGAAGTCGTTCTGGACGTCAACCACAAGTAGAGCCGTCACGGGCCGAACAACCTGCGATTATTTATTAATTTAATAATATTTATAATATTTAATTGATTGCAGGTGATAATTATAGTTCATGGTAATATGATAAAATAATATATAATAGTAATAGATGAAGTAAGTCGTTCTGGACGTCAACCACAAACAGAGCCGTCACGGGCCGAACTACCTGCGATTATTTATTAATTTAATAATAAATATAACTCAGTACTCACTGCAGTGAGTGACAGAGAGCGCATTTTCTCGTCGACGAAAACGTGAAGTCACGGACGGACGGACGGACGGACATGACGAACGCAATTAATACTGCATTTTTTCCATAAATGAGAAAATGCGCCAAGAAAATAGAACATAACTAACCTGCTTTATCCAGCGCTGCCAGCAGAAACGGAACTCGTCCTTATCGATCACATTGTCCTGGAGGCCAGAACACACGTATTATTAACTACAAGTAAGGTATAAATCTAATAACTTTATATTTACTTTATATTTGTTTTTGTGTTGATTAAAAGCTCACAAAATTAAATCAACGAGTATCCTAGACACTTTCTACCTTTGTCTATCCATTGGAGACTTACAGAATCAAACATTTATATTCAAGATAATGTTTACAGATTCCCGACTACTTGATTCTCGCCTGGATGCATGGAATTGACGGAATATGAGAAAAAACTTTGGTTTATCACGTAACACAATATATAATTATATCAGCTTAATAAACCATCGTATCCTGCTATTTTTACTAGGTAATTTATCGAGAAGCACGTAATAGCGATTCTTCCACAATTTCATGCACAATTCTAATCATAATCATCAATCTACATTATTCGGTCGTTTAACCTAATTATTAATCTACAAAATTTATTTGTTATTAATAATCAATAACCTGAATAATTTGTTTGTCGATCATGATCATTAATCTACATAACTAGTTTGTTATTAAACATTTTGTAACCTAAACAATTTATTTGTTAATTATAATCCATTATATACATAATTTATTTGCTAATCACAAGTAAGGCAAGCAAATGCAGCGTGCCCATGCATGCAGCAGAGCTTGCGTGTCTCGCCGCCCCGCTATTGAGATCAGCCGCCCTAGAGCCGCACTGCAGGGCAGACTACGTTAATGCTGCTAGTTAGTTAGACGCTAATGCTGCTGGCTAGGCAGACGCTAATGCTGCTGGCTAGGCAGACGCTAATGCTGCTGATTAGTTAGACGCTAATGCTGCTAGTTAGTTAGACGCTAATGCTGCTAGTTAGTTAGACGCTAATGCTGCTAGTTAGTTAGACGCTAATGCTGCTGGTTAGTTAGACGCTAATGCTGCTAGTTAGTTAGACGCTAATGCTGCTGGTTAGTTAGACGCTAATGCTGCTAGTTTGTTATACGCTAATGCTGCTAGTTAGTTAGACGCTAATGCTGCTGGTTGGTTAGACGCTAATGCAGCTGATTAGTTAGACGCTAATGCTGCTGGTTAGTTAGACGCTAATGCTGCTGGTTAGTTAGACGCCAATGCTGCTGGCTAGGCAGACGCTAATGCTGCTGGCTAGGCAGACGCTAATGCTGCTAGTTAGTTAGACGCTAATGCTGCTAGTTAGTTAGGCGCTAATGCTGCTAGTTAGCTAGACGCTAATGCTGCTGGTTAGGCAGACGCTAATGCTGCTGGTTAGTTAGACGCTAATGCTGCTGGTTAGTTAGACGCTAATGCTGCTGGTTAGTTAGACGCTAATGCTGCTGGTTAGTTAGACGCTAATGCTGCTGGTTCTGTCTCTTATACACATCTAGATGTGTATAAGAGACAGCAAAATGTCCTCACAAATACCGTTAGATAATTTTCAATAACCACGATGTTTGCAAATACCACGATGATTTTTAGTTTTGCAACGCCTCTAAAAAAAATAACAGTAATTTTAGTTGAGGGTCTGAAAACTATCGAACACTTGATGAGGTCAAAGGTCAGCGGGCGGTGGGCAACTGTTCATCGACTGCGAATGAAGGTAGCAAACCTCGCGAGTTTCAAAAGAAAGTTGATGATGGTCTCATGATAGCCTAGCAGCCCGAGGACCTCACAATTTTAGCCACAAAGGAAATTATTCAATAAGAAGCTCGTGCGATCCATATTCTATTATTATGAGGAAACTGGTTGCCATCTATTTTAACATGCACAGGTTTAGCGTGCGCGGGTAAGTTTGCAGTATTAATGACATTCGGGATGCGCTATACAATTCTACTTATAATAAATTTGAAAAACATTTCTAAAAAACATATGAGCTGTACGTTCATCACTTCATTTGAATGCCGTACATTAAATGCAATCAATAAATGATTACTGAAGTATGATTAAGTAATTAGTGTCACACAGATTACACCATTTAAATCGTCATCAAAACATTTAATAGTACTGAGGTTTGTGATGGACATCAAAGGAATCAATGATGTTAATTTCAGGCATCGTGCACGCAGCAAACGGAAGATGCGTGTCGTGGTCGTAAAAGTGCATCTTTCTCATGCATGCGTGGAGAATAAAGATTATAAAAAAATATATATTTTAAGTATTTAAATGCTCAGGTCATGGTTGCACAATAAATGCTGCTATAATACCACATGATTTTCGTATCCGTATCAATAGATACTGTGAAAACTGATAAAAATCTAATACTAAACAATTTCACTGTTAACAAACTCTTCGCCGAACAATCGTTAGTTAACTTCTGTAGAGTAATTATGTAATAATACATAATGCGGTGGTGATCTTTTAAACGTATAGAAACTTTAGCTTAAACTAAGTGAAAAATTTCAGATTCTAGTTAAATTTCAATCATATATAATGATAGCTAGACAAATACAATAACAATAACATAAGCAAAAAAATGTAGAATATCACTTTCTTTTATTCCATGTGCTAAAGCGTTTGAAAATCGAGGCGTGCCTGCATTTTTTATCCAAAATGCAAGCAAAACAATAAGTTTCCGTTAACATACATTACGTGGTTATTTATATTCCGTAATACTGTATAAATAGAAACTCGATAACGATGCAAAGGAACAATTCGGTATATATTCGAACCAATATAATTACGTACTTTTGCCGTTGGGCATTTAAATAGCCGAACATAGTTTTTAATAATAGGTCATTAAATTTAACGAGAACATAATATTTGGAACTACTGATGACAACAATTAAGACTAAACGGCCCATTATGCAGCAACATTAGGGATGACTAAAATGAGGCCAATCAGGCCACCTTCTTATTTCTGGTGTCTTCTGACATTGCTTGTTTCAGCGGCCCTAATAAAAATCATGCACATACCATAAATGACTTTTATCTTGCAAGTGTAGACTTAGTTTATTGGTGTCGAAGATCTGAAATATTTTAGTTTAACTTTCTCATGCACATACCATAAATGACTTTTATCTTGCAAGTGTAGACTTACTTTATTGGTGTCGAAGATCAGAAATATTTTAGTTTAACTCTCTCATGCACATACCATAAATGACTTTTATCTTGCAAGTGTAGACTTAGTTTATTGGTGTCGAAGATCTAAAATATTTTAGTTTAACTTTCTCATGCACATACCATAAATGACTTTTATCTTGCAAGTGTAGACTTACTTTATTGGTGTCGAAGATCTGAAATATTTTTGTTAGCATGGTGGGCTCGATATGATAAGGTTTGCCGCACTCGTTACGGAACAGAGCTCGGCACAGAGCGCTGAACTCCGACTGGTTGAGGAACCCGTCCCTGAAAAGTACAAGTATTTTCATTCAGTGAAAAGCTAATAATAAAATAAAAATTTAGAGGCTGATGTTCAATATTTTCAATTGAAGGTAATAATAATAAAATAAAAATTTTATAGGCTGAAGTTTCGTATTTTCAGTCAGAAGTGAACATTTACTTAATGAAATTGTAAATGGCTGAAGTTCCCTCGGTGGGGTTTGAAAGGTTGAATGTGCGTCTTACAACGTTAGTAATGAAATAATAATTTTATCCGATTATATTTAAGAAACAAAGATAAAATTTACATCTTTTTAATAGATGCTTCTTATATAAAAAAAAATAATCTTTGAAATCTGCCCGTTTCACCTTGACGATAAATATAATTTTTACTTTCGCATTAAATAAATTAGAGGATCAGCAAAATATGAATGTTTCAGTACTGCAAGAATTGTAGTAATGCAAAGCCGACGATTCACCACAACATTTAAATAGGGGCATCGTGAAAGAATCACTTAGCGTCAGCAAAACAATTGTATACGAAGATTGAGATCATTCCGCGAGTATTTTTAGTGCTACCGTCTCCATTCTAATCTGATTCCACGTAACAAGTCTGAGCAAGAAGCAATTTAAAGTGTCATCAATCTCCATTATTTCTTCATTCTAGAATTAAGATGAACTGTGATTTTTCAAGAATTGTTTATCAGACCTGGATAATGTGAGGTTACTGCATCGTCCCGTGGAATTCACCATTAAAAAAATACGTTAAAGCAGAGAAAGCGTGACTGCAGAGTGCGTGACTCGAAAATTAAAGATGTCCGGGTCTAAAATGCAGGAGATTAGTGAAACGAATTGCCTGTAAAACAATAAAACCAGTGATTGAAAATTTTTAAAGCTATGACCAACACAGCAGCATGCAAGCTGCACAAAACAGAATTTGTAATTTAGAAGGATGTGGTACAATAAAAGTAAACAGTTGCAGGTAATGATGAAACTAAACTTCTTAGCTTCTTATCAAGGCAAACTCTATCTTTGCATTGATCCAAAATATATCGATGTCCACGAAACTTTAGGGAAACTAAGAGGCCCAAATAATCCTTGTAAGAACAGCCGAAAAGGCTCAAGTAGCCCATGTAAAAACAAAATAATTACTCAGTACTCACTGCAGTGAGTGACAGAGAGCGCATTTTCTCGCCGACGAAAACGTGAAGTCACGGACGGACAGACAGACGGACATGAACACAATAGCGCCTTTTTTCCAATAATGAGAAAATGCGCTATGAAGGCCCAAGTTTGGGCCAAAAAGGACCAGAAAAAAGCCTAAGAGGCACAAAGACCAAGGCACTCCAGAAGGCCCTTCTGCACTCGGCACGCATGCCGTGACCGCAGCCAATGATGAGCGCAGCCTCGCAACTCGCTCGATGGATCTGGCCTGACATCATCTCATCCCGTGACACGAAAATTAACCACCAATTTTCTTTGACCTTTACAGGTAAAATCACATCGCTGCATGTCATCAAGAGACGACTGCAGACCGCGTCATGCATCCGCATGTTTACCTCAAGCAAACATGAGGCTCACACGGAGGTAGAATAAGTACTTAATGTTAAATGCTTTGAAAAATCGTGGAGAAATGGGACACGCTTGTGATTTTTTTAACAATAAGCATCTTATAGGTACGTAAATAGTATATTATATGATATTATATGATGACATACCATGAACAGAATGAATCAAGTGCAGTGCATATAACTCATTGTAATTTCTAAGCGATCACCTAAACACGAGGAAATATTGATAGGTATAAATTTTGAGCAATTCCCAAACTCAAGTTTTTACATAAAGTAGAATAATATAAAATATACATGTAATACTTTGCAAATGCTAGCTGATGGTAATTCCGTTGTTTACGTGTGATTAACTAAACAAAATCATTTAAAAATTTCCAGTCAATAAAAAGTGAAATAAAGGACGCTTTAACAACTTCGGAGCAGCCCAGAGCAAATTTTAGAGCATAAGGCATTATTTTTAGCACATTTTCTCATTAATGGAAAAAAGGCGCTATTGTGCTCGCCATGTCCGTCCGTCCATCCGTCCGTCCGTCCGTCCGTGACTTCACGTTTTCGTCGACGAAAAAATGCGCTCTCTGTCACTCACTGTAGAGAGTACTGAGTTATATTTTTTCATCCTTAAATTTGCCTTTAAGAAAACAATACTCCAAACCATGTTGTAGCGTGCTCATGCACGCTTTTTTACCTTTTAATTAGACCCATTCCTCAAAGTTTCATCGATGTTCACCTTAATATTGACGAAGTCATTTGCCATTTAAACTAAGTATTAAGTGGCCGTGCTCCAGCAGTGCATTTAAAGTTTCCTCGATCAATCGAGCTCTCCAGCCACGAACACTTCGAACAAAAGGAAGATGGATGAAGACTCGCATCAAACTGATTAAAATTTAGGCGACTAAAATTAATGGAGGGCTTTTGAGAAGGAAGCTTTGATCGTTATGCTCATTTGTACACTTCAGAATACTCAAAAGATCTCCATACAACCTAATTAATAGTAACCTTGCATCATTAATCATGCATTACCGCAACACGGTAATGAATCGAGATAAATTGAAAAAGGCGTTCATGTACAGAGATACACATTACATGGATCAAGCAGTCTTAGCAATATGTGATAACTCTTAACAAGAGTAATTTCAAATTGTTTCACTGTAATGAAGTCTTGTACTTCATCGGGTTCGTTACTCATGTGCATCAAACATCAGCCACCAAAAACTAATTTATTGAACAAGAACAATAATTAAACAGTATTGCTGGAAAGATTGACACGATTCTAGACAAGCTAAGTGCCCATTCCAACAGTTCACAATAGGTGACAAAGGTCGTAGCACGTCCCAGATACTGGGAGCACGCGCGAAGATCCTTCCAAGCAAATATACTTGGAATACACGGTACCGGAGGCAGCTTACTCTCGTGACCCGCAACCCTACATTGGAAATAAATACTTTCATACTGACTGATATTACTTACTTAAGCACTTGCATAACAGATTCTATATATGATCACTCTTTAACCAATTTACATGTAACAGAAATAGCTAATTTATTGCTAGGGTACATTTGGTCTAATATAGCAGCTCACCAATAAACGCGCAGTGTAAGATGACTTAAAGCACAGCAGAAGAGTGACGCAATATAGGTCAACTAGGCCTAGAAATGGGTTGTTCACGGCAGGACCTCCTCTTAACCACTGACCTAACGCATAGTATAGTCTCTCGTAAGAACGATTTCCTTTTGGTGTCTAATATGTAACTTTAACAACCTTACAATAAAATATGGTTCATGAAAAAAGCATTCATGTACAGAGATGCACATTACATGGATCAAGCGGTCTTAGCAATATGTGATAACTCTTAACTAGAGTAATTTCAAATCGTTTCACAAATTAATTATCATTAAACTTACGTGTGCAGGGTAAATATGGAAAATGGAAACGTTTCAAGTTAAATAGCGCGATATTGTAGATCGTTAAGAGGATTAGATTGAATTCAGTTAAGGATTATAATGTGTCCGAACAACCATATGGCTTTGAGCGAGGTTTATCATAAGTAGTGCGAACGCCATTCTGATTTTCAACATTTACGCAAAAGGGGATATTTACGCAACGGCACAAGCAAATGACATAGATGAAACAAAAAAAGAAATTAAAGGCAACGTAATATTAGGCCAGAGAATCATTGTAGAGGGAAAGCACAAAAATGCAGTAAAAATCTTAGAAGAGCAGGGAAAGAGTCGTGCAAGAGCGGGCAAAGCTTTGCATGATTAGGGTAATGCTGGCATGGGAAGGATAGGTCTGGCAAGGTGAGGATAGGTCTGGCAATTGGTATTAGGTCTGGCAATTGGTATTAGGTCTGGCCAGGGAAGGGTAGGTCTGGCAAGGGGAGGGTACGTCTGGTAATGGGAGGGTACGTCTGGTAAGGGGAGGGTACGTCTGGCAAGTAGGCCATCACACGGCAACTCGTGACGCAACATATTGATCCCTTGACGTTGTCAGATTCTCTATAAAGAACAATTACGTGGTAGAGACGCAACGAACAACGGCGTGAGAGTGCCCCCTGTCTAGGGCGTGTAGCAGGCATCAACGTTTCAATGTTCCTTATTCACCTTACGATCGAAGAATTACGGCAATAAATAACCCGTGCATGCAATACACATCGGGTAATCGAAGAGAATTTAGAAAAAGAGAATTCAGTAGAAGGAATTCATCGTTAACATGGTAACAAAGCTTAAGGGTAGAAAGACATAAAACGTTCCGCTTACTCGTCATCCGAAATGGATGATAAAATGTTTCTAAGTACGTAGCTGCTTCGGGAAATTATCCAGATGGAACCAATCTTGGTGATGTCTATGACAATCTTACCAATAATTTTTAAAATAACTTGTAATTGTCATGGAGAAAAAAACTTGCTATTAGATGGTAGGTAAAAGCGAGCGTAGTAGTTCGAAGAAATTGAATGAAAATTCTGTGACGTCTAGATATTTTAATTGTCAAACATATTCAAAATAAATCACAAAATGCGAAGCAATACAAATTAAGACGAGGTATTTTCTAACTATGAAATATTATACTTAATTGTTAAACCAGGGCAATGCAGATGCAATAGATAAAGTATTAAACCTTAAACCGGATCAAAAGACTGCAGAAATGCATTCTAGCTTGCCATTCGTGCGATGTTGACGATGACATTTAAAATCGCTAAAATATTTTTGTAAGAAGGTATATCGTGCATGTTTTTATTGTACGCATTAATTTTCTGAAAGTTCCCATCATTAATGGTTATCGCCTATGAGAATTATTTCAAGATCACTGAAGATTGATTTTAATTCTCATTTACCATTTGCCAGTCTAATAAAATGTCCTCACAAATACCGTTAGATAATTTTCAATAACCACGATGTTTGCAAATACCACGATGATTTTTAGTTTTGCAACGCCTCTAAAAAAAATAACAGTAATTTTAGTTGAGGGTCTGAAAACTATCGAACACTTGATGAGGTCAAAGGTCAGCGGGAGGTGGGCAACTGTTCATCGACTGTGAATGAAGGCAGCAAACCTCGCGAGTTTCAAAAGAAAGTTGATGATGGTCTCATGATAGCCTAGCAGCNTTTTAGAAACTAATTATCCTTTCTAATTAACATTATCGTGAATTGAATAATTCACGTTTGAAGATGCATTTTCTAAAGTATATCTTGACTTATCTTTAATAATCGTACCTCAAATTATGATATTTGCTGATTATAACTCAAATTTTAAGCTTAATCAGCCCTCAATTTGTTGCTCGTGAATGATGAGATTTTGGCGTAGGAATGATCAGCAATCAGAGTAGCAAGACAACTCCTAAGTTTGGGCATCACAACAACATAATTTAACGGTCGAATGCACGCAGTTGAACAGTTCCGACCAATTTCAGAAAGAATCCTTACAATGGAAACAGCACGAATAATAAATAATAGTAATAGCAATTTAAGAATAGTAGTTAGTAATTTTTTAAAGAAATTCGACCCAACACGTCTTTGGACAAGGCTTTGACAGGCAGCGATCTATCCCCACTAGCTGGTGTTTAATTTGTTCGTTTGATCTCGCGTCCGTGTTGCACCCATTACTAATTTTATGATTCATTAAAGATATTTAAAATGATTTCCAGTAGGTATATTGAAAACGGCACATGAATAAATATGTAATCGGAATCGGAAAAAAATATTTCGGAATCAAATATTTTTATTGAGCTTCAGCTTAAGACGAGCATAGATGTCTGAAGCGACATCAGTACGTAAATCAGTAAAGTGTAATATAATACCTATATAAATAAATTTATATATGATAAGCAAATCAGGCGAACCAGAGATAAGGTTGAAGTTAAAATGTGTAAATTTATCCCAAAGTAGTTGTTCAGAAATGGTAGAACTTTATTGCCGACTCACACAACTCAATCGTCTTCGCCGAAAGCTTTGTACAGTAACCCTATAGTATTAAGGTATATAGCATTGACTATTTACTAGTCCTAGTCAAAAGATTTGCAGCCTGTGTAACTGAACAGCATTGACAAATTAATCGTCATTAGAAGCCTTGTAGTATTGAAATGAATCCGCAACTTACTTATCTTTGTTGAAAGCTTTGAAACCAAGCAGTATTGAATTGTACAGACAACTTACTCATCTTTGTCGAAAGCTATGAAAGCTTGCAGTATTTAAATGAACAACTTACTTATGCTAATCGAAAGCTTTGAGTCTATATAGTGATGAAATGAATCAACAACTTACTCATCTTTGTAGAAAGCTTCAAAACCGTGCAGTATTTAGATGAACAGGCAACTTACTCATCCTTATCGAAAGCTTTGAATCTTTATTTTATTGAAATGAATCCACAACTTACGCATCTTTGTCGGAAGATTTGAAAGAAAGCAGTATTTAAATGAACAGACAACTTACTCATCCTTATCGAAAGCTTCAAATCCTTGCAGTATTTAAATGAACAGTCAACTTACTCATCCTTATCGAAAGATTTGAAACCTTGAAGTATTGAAATGAACAGACAACTTACTCATCTTTATCGAAAGCTTCAAATATTTGTAGTATTTAAATGAACAGACAACTTACTCATCCTTATCGAAGGCTTTGAAGCAAGTGTCCATGCCGCTCCAAAGCTCGACCGAGAAGCAGTCTTCGCCTGACGCCGCAATGATTGCGATTTTACGAAACAAACTCGAGAAAAAAATCAAATGAAAAATTATCACTGCTAAGTGCACTAAAAATACATTCGTTTTATTGGTTGATTCAAAATCTTGAGGAAATGCTGTAAAAATCTGTAAAGGCAACGGGAAAGGAAGGTTTCTTTCAAACAAAAGATTTATACATCACAATTTATACATACTTGCACATTTTCTCCGAGTGGGCGAGTACCTTATGCAACTTTTAAATACATTATCTGGAATAGTAACATTTCGTTGCACATACAGTATGTGAGAAAAACATTGCGGTCTCTCGGATGCGCGAATTTTCGGCTGATTTTCTGGCTCACAAAGTAATGAATTTTCTGGCTCACAAAGTAATGAATTTTCCAGCTCACAAAGTAATGAACACAAGTTTCTATCAAACGAATGTGACCAAAAGACCGATGAAAAAATAAATTTACTCGTAACTAATCAAAGCCTAATGTAATTTCTTGGGAAAAGTCAATTTTCAAAGAGTGCGCCTTTGTACTTTGGGAAGTATGATAAATGTATCAATACACGAAATTTCCGTCTGCTATCTTGTATTGGTAATAATAATTGCTACTTTAAAGGCCAACTTACTCCTTAAATCCCTTAAATCCCTGCCTAGTCATTGCATTAGCTACTGATAAAATGATTCCTGTAAGCCAGTTTGTATCCGACTTCAAATGCATCAATAATCCCTAACTGGTGTTATCGGCAGCAACTTCACGCTGACGTCTTTACAAATCAATAATTTCCATAATGGTATTTACTAATTTCGATTTCGGAAGAGAATGTTTTCTAATATTCTTTTATTTGAAGAATTTTGCCCGGGAAAATTTATATAAGAATAGATTTTAACTATAAAGCTATTGCCAGACCGTCAAACAAAAATTGGTTTTTGACAAATAGCCTTAAATTGGTCGGCATTCTTGTAAGAAAAAGTATTTTTTTTATCCTCATTTAATATTTGAAAAAAAATCATTGTATTTATTCGAGCAGTGTATTTTATATACACGACATTTGTAGATGACCTTATGGATTCCTCCCTTTATTATATCCAACAGGTAAGACTGTAGCAAAATAACCGTTCTAGATTTATTAGCAGGCTGTGGTCTTGTACACGCAATGATTACTAATGAGATACTATATACTTATAGTTCTGGCTGTAAACCAATGATATTAATTGTATATCCTAGCGTCACAGTATATCAGGTACATTCGGCAATGCTACCAGCAGAATTAATTTATAACTACCTATATCAACTTTATGCTGAAATACGGTTTGCTTTTATTCATTTGCTGCTCAAGAGCATTTATTAGGAGCTCAATAAAATTTATTAAAACTTCTTAATTATATTTACAGTAATTAACTGTTTTTGTACAGCATTCAGAGCCTATGCTAATGTAAATTTGATTACGTTTACTAAATGTAATTAAATTGTCCGGTACGTAACGAGGTGGATTTCTCAATGTAAAACCTGCAGATGATAAAAAAAAATTATCAAGATCAAGGCAATCGGGATGAGTTTTGAGAAATCAGTGGCATAGTGATTTTTTATTTACATTATTTTTTTATGACTATTAACGTTTCAGAAATTATCGTTGCGGTATTATCGACGTTCAAATGATCGATAGTAGCAGATGTGGTTCGCTGATGACGGACATTGCCGCCGGTCACTGCACATATAATTTCGTGCGGTGAAAAACGGTTTAGTTTTGAAAAAAACTGTCTAACTTTCAAGAAAACGGTCTCATTTAGGTAAAAAGGTGTCATTTTTGGAAAAGACGGTCTCATTTGGAGAAAAGCGTCTCATTTTTGAAAATTTATTATTAGACTGCTTGCATTTTTCTCCGCGTCTGTGATCTCAAGGTGTAGTGTCAGATTTTATTCTTGTTTCAAATTCTAGTAATCCTTCTGGGACCTTGTATAAGCCATGAGTATACTTGTATACTTCAATGAGGTCCCCACGCAGACGTCGATAATGGAGGCTTGGAAGTTTCATAATCTTTAATCTTTTTATAATCTTTAATCTTTATAGCATCATCAAATTAAGATCAAGTTACCCTATCTGACTTCTCTCACGGAATCTTATGTAGGTACCTACGTCAAATAAAGGCAGATGGATAGATCAAGATATGAACTAAACTATTCATAATTTAGCCGAATAGCCTTGATGCGACAGTATTCATAAATGAATAGAAAATTTACGACTCAACAGCGAACTGAAAAATGGTTAGAGTCTAAGACTATTTGATCGCACTAATAGCTTCAACTCTACAATTGAATTCTTTGGGAAGCGATTCGCGTTCAAGTTTAGTAAATAACATAGAAACAATATCTAAGCCCACATGATTTCAATGATACACTCGAGAAGCAAAAGGCTTCTTTGTCAAAATAAAACATATAGCCTAAGAACGAACCGCTTTCCGGCGTCCGCTTCAAACCTTATCGTAATCCTGCCTCACCTCTACCCCTAGTCTTGCTGAGTCAGACACGAGAAGCATGGAAAACGAGATATAAAACGAAATGAACGTGTTCCTTTGTTTACATGAAGTGCGGTGTTTACAATGACACATTTATGCCCATATTGAACACAACACAATTATGTATTTAGAGGTAGCTGGCCAATGCAAATGACGTGGCATTGGAAGCTCTTCAGGTCAGAACGATCCGAATCGACGCTATACGCGTTTTTAACTCGTTCAGAACCAAATGCGTCACAACAACGTTAACTGGAGCATACAGACACAATAAAGAGAGAGCGCGGGCACGCCATTTGTTCACAATTTTTAACTAGAATACAGTTCTCTTTGCAGGCGTCCAAAGCACATGGGTCGCTCAAAGAACTTGTGACGCACAACCTCCCTTTCCACCAGAACAACACCAACTAACCTATGGAAATCCGCGGAGTCCGGACGGACGCAAGAGCTCGTGTCGACGACGTACGAACGCTGAATAGAAGAAAACGAAGCTTCTGTGGGCATTTTGTGGGATACTGTATTAAAATAATGACGACTTTAATTTTCACGCAACTTATGCTATTCGGCCGATCATACAACATACGATGTTACTTTGTCAAACATATACGTTTTTTATTATTGAATACACTAGTTATGATCCAATTATATATTTTTATTGCATTTTGGCAACACAGAAATACCTTCATGATTGCACAAAAGTTGACAAAACACAATAAATACAATTACGAAAGCCGAAAGGTATCCTGGTCCAGAACTAATATCTGATTAAATATAATAATTCAAGTCTAAATTTTGCATAAAACCATCCAATGATTTTGTTTGGTTCGCCGACGTAAGTGTAGCCAATGATAGTGATACTGAGGCAGATTGTTAACAATGATAAGTGGTCCATAATTCTTTTGGAGTCAGTTGGCTAACTCACTGTGACCGCTCCGAAAAATAACTAAATAAGTGTATATTTACATAAAAAATCATACGACTCTCACACGTAATGGCAATAAAGTGATTTATTATTACTTAAGTCAAGATCGGTTACGATTTGACAAATTTATTAGAGAAAAATATAATTGAAAAAAATTCGTTAGCCACCTAATAAGTGGCTCTCTGCTCCGTGGTTGCCAAATTACCATAAAAATTGTTGTTTATTTGCCTAGAAAACTGTATTCAGGAGTTGCGGAATATTTGGAAGTGAATAACTAATATCCATGTACAAGAAGGGTAAAAGCGAAGCCGTGAGATCTCATATGTAAATAATTTCACACGCTATAAAAGCTAGTCATAAAAAGCCGAATGAATTTTAATAAAAAGAAGTTTCTTTAGCACGAAATCATGCGTATTATTAATTCTTATGAAGACTGATTTTGAGGCACAGTAGACAAAAACGCATGAACGTTAGATTACTGTCTGTGCCAGCCCGGCCCTGAACCTGCGCTACACATGCTTTAAATCTGCGCTGAATGGAATAGTTAATTCTAACTACTTTAGAATGTTATATTTTCCTAATTCATAACCATTAATTATGAAATTGAATACATGATTTTATATGCTTATTACACATTCGCGACAATTTTTTTAAATTAGTTACTCATTGAAGATTTTTCTTTCCTTCCAGCGCCATCTATGGGCAGGATAAGAAAATAAAAAAACTCTTCCCATTAAGATGGAATTATTTATTACGAAGTAAGGCGGCGTATTCGTTCGGAATAACTTAGCCATAATAAATACGCTCGTCAACACAAAAATGTCACCGCAAATATAATTAACGTTTGTGTTGATTTCAAGAAAGCATTTATTTCTCTTCTTCTTTTTTTCAGCAAACGTGACGAAACGTTCTGAAACTTAGAAATTCATCATTAGTATATTCTGCTATCTTAACCGGCATGTTGTGGTATTCCTAAATACAAGAGATGAACGCTAGAATTCATAAGACATAGCTGCCCATGTGGGTCTCAAGGTGATCTAGGTACGTGCCGGTCTGATCTGGCAGGAATTGTTTGTACTTTTTTCTGTCGTTGCGCTGTAGGTCGATTAGCACGCCACAAGGGTGGGCCTCTCTGCTTGTTTACCTTCTCATCCTCTGCAAATAATAAACAAACGGACAGGACCGATAACTGACCGTACTGTTGCTTTATTTTCAGGATCTAATTTAAAGGTGAGTCATAACATATTTTTTTCGTTATTACTCCAGTTCATTCTTCCGTGGATATGAACACCCCTTTCATCAGGTTATCTTACCACTTGAAGCAAGCAAAGTGTGTGTGAGAGAGGCCATACTTGAGAGGCCTTACGATCAAATGAACGTACCAGGAAAAAATGGTTCGTGGGAAGTAAAACCAAACCAAAGCTAGAAAAGTTTCTCCCAAGTTATTACGTGTTCGCGCTTAAGTTATTTTGCGTTTTAATGTCAAAGTTGTGCGGTGGAATGAACAAATAGAGCAATGCAACAAATCAACCTCTCGTGCATCGGTTACTATTTTGTCCAACTTCAACTCGAAAGCCTATTAGGTTGTAATAATTTGA